AAGAAATCAGATGTCATATTGCAATGGGCAAATATGCTGCAAAATACCTCTTTAAAATGTTAAGGAGCAAAGATGTCCCTTTGTAACACTAAGGTGTGCCTGACCCAATCCATGGCCTCATGTGTGTGTGAAAGCTGGACAATCAACAAGGAAAACTGCAGAAAATTGATTTGATTTGTGGTGTTGGCAAAGAATACTGAAAATACTATGGACTGAAGGAAGAATGAATAAATCTGTCTTGGAAGAAGTACAGCTGGAATGCTTCTTAGAAGCAAGAGTTGACAGACTTAATCTCATGTACTTTGGTCATGTTGTCAGAAAGGACCAGTCCCTGGGGAAGGATATTATGATTGGTAAAGTAGAAGGTCAATGAAATGGCAAAGACCCTCGATGAGATGGATTGACACAGTGGCTGTAATGATGGGCTTAAGAATAGCAAAGATTGTGAGGATGGCCAGTGTTCCATTCCATTGTGCATAGGTCTCTGTGAGTCGGAACCAACTCCACGGCACCTAACAACATAGAAACAGAGAGTAGATGGGTGGTTTGCGAGGTCTGGAGTAGAGGAAGTAAAGAGTGATGCTAATGGTTCTGGTGTTTATTTTTGGGATGATGGATATGTTCCAAAATTAGATTATAGTGATGCATACACCATACATGTGATAAAACCATTTAACTGTTTACTTAACCTACATAGTATGATAAGTAAATTATGTCCCAACAACTCTTTTTAAAGACATAATCCTAGAGCTTTTAAACAACTCTTCTCCCAGACAGAGATTTTGTTTCTACAGGTCTGAGATATGACTCAGTGTTGTGCATTTCTAACAGAGAGGCCAGATAATCCCGATGAAGATGGCTGTGAACTTCTTGAAAAGATTAGAAAAGAATCTTAGAAAATGTTTCAGCTTTCTTTCTTTTTTTTTCTCCTCAGGTCTTTCTGTTCACCCTTATCACCTTCCAAAGCAGAAAAAAAAAAAAAAAAGATCTCAAACTCACTACCATCAAGTCAGATCCAACTCATAGCAACCCCTCCTTGGGTTTCTGAGGTGGTGTCACTAAGGAAGTAGATCGCCCAAGCTTCCTTTGAGCAGTGGCTGGTGAGTTTGAACATCCAGCCTTCTAGTTAGCAGTCAAATGCCTTAGGCACTATGCTACCAGAGCTCCTAAGCAGAAAATAGAAGCAGACAAAACAACAGAAAACATGACTTCCAGTTTTTCTGGACTTTCCAGCCTTCTTACTTCATGGAATCTGCATCTCTAAATGTGTCAAGTGTGTAATTTAAAAAATAAATATACAATATGTAAGGTATTTTGGTTTCTAAACAAATACAATGATATAAAAATCTTTATTATGAGGACTCATACTCAGAAAATATAAGCACATATTACTGTAAGAATAAATGGAATTCATGTAAAAATGTAGTTTAAATTTATGTATTACTTTATTCACTACATGAAATTATCTTGAGATTTACACACATATAAATCTCCAAATTTAAGAGCAGTTCACCCTGTACATCCTTCCCAACCCACCTGCCAAAGAAAGTGGAAGGGAGAAAATAAAAGGCAGTGGGGAATACTTATTTTCTGGATTAACAACTTGGCACATAATCACTCATAGGAAAAGCATACCTAGGTAAACATTTGGGGGGATGTCAAAGCAGAATTTTCACATTCATTAAACCATACTATTCTTTTTAACGTTCTCGTCAACTTTACATAATGTTTAAATAACCAACAAACTTGAGTTATTACACACAGAAGGGGAAGAGTGAAAATTTGTCTAGAAAAGAAAAACATAACATGATCTATGGGGGAGGCTTCTCAGCTATTTATGGTAGCAGGCTTGCCATGGTATGGTCCTTAGTAAAATTCTTTAATAACATAAAAACTATTACCAATTAAAAATAATAATTAGATAGCTTTTTAAAACCATAGATTCCCCATTTGAAGAGCAGCAAAAATTCTTCAGCCCTCAATTGAAACCAATCAACAGGGATCCTGGATCATACATAGCACCAGATACTACAAAATCACTTTTAAATGTTTACTTTGTCATGTAATAGTTTTCAACTTGAAATTTCTTTAGGTTTCTCTTACTCTCATTAGAAGTTTTGGAAAAGAGACATTCCTCTCACCACCCACTGTTGCACCAAGCCTCCCCAACACATTGCTGTTGCCCATAGACACACATAAACGATTCACTAGGAGAGGACTCTTTCCTCTCCTTTCTTCACTCCTCTGTTTTTTCTTATTCTTCTTCATCTTCTCTTTGATGGCTTGTTGAATGACTTAGTTAAAAAAAAGAACTTGAAAGCTAGAAGAAGTCATGAGGTGCAGCAAAAATAAGCAGCATTCCATTTAAGACACTCCCTTCTTGATGCACACGTCTAAATTAAGCTTTTGGAGGTGGTTTCCGCTTCTCATGTACAAAGAGAAATCGATTAAGGAAAGGTAAGAAAGAACATTTTAAAAGAATTAGTAATAACATTATTTCAAGTCAAATCTCAAATGCTTCCTGGAATATTCTTGAAAATAAGTAATTATGAGTTTGATTGGGGAAGGAAAATATCTGCCATATTAACTTAGGCTTAGATGGCCAGATGCTCTTAATTCAGCCCTCTCATAATGTTGAATGCATTTAAGGAGATTAGACAAATCCATCTTAATCTATTTCACTCTTGATTTTGGTTAACATGCTTTCACGCAACTGAAGGATACCTGTATTTCATTTTAACATCTGTGAGACATGCAGAATCTTTTGGGTAGATAATTGAAAGGTAAATATCAAGTATGTGCCAATAATATTTTTAAAGGAAAATGCCAACAAATCAGGAAGTTATTTACTTATCTAAAAATGGTTTCTTTCCTTGGTAGTTTCTTCATATACTCTAGAACGAGATACTTGAATTAGTTTGTTTTAAAATTGCAGTGTATACATAACTTCATGAGTTAAATTTGCCTTTATTTATCTTACAATCTATCTCTACAAATACTTTTAAGCCATAACAATGAAAGCTTATATACAATATACCAATCTCCATGCTCTTCCTTATTTTTATCAGCACCCAGAAAGGAAGCAATATAAATTGTGTGTGATGTGCAACATCATAGTAACATAGAGATTGACTTGATAAACCAAAGATACAGTATCTGGCTTTCTGCAAGGTAACCTACACTGTTTTTCTCAAGCAAGAGCAGTTTTCCCTCCTCACATAAGAAATCATCCTTCAACAATGAGAAAATTTCAAATTACACAAAAATGTTCACAAAGTCTATCCAGTGGATGACAAAATCAGTACTGCCAATACTGGGGTAACTGCCTCACAGTTTTATAAAATTCATAATCCCCAGTTTGATATGCTTAATACTGATCATTAGTTAATACCATCTACCAACTACTTAATACTGGCAATTCCATAAAAATTTATTAGTAACAGATAATCAAACACTAGTGTGTTTTATTTTTATTTTAACAAATTATTGATAAAGTTTCTTTTGAGGTATGCAATTAAAAAACACTATTCTTTGAAAGTGAAGGGTAATTTAAAACTAGATATTAAAATGCTATATAATTTGACTACATCTCTTACTCTGCAGAATATAATTTCATAGATGCCACTATATGTGTGTGTATACACACACATATATACACAACACACACACGCACATACACACACTTTGTGTGTGTACAGTATTTTTGTATTTTGTGTGAAAGAACAAGAATTGATGTACATGTATCACAGGTCTAAGTGTGAGTAGAATAATTCAACAAAACATTTGTTTCCTTAGTAATCAGCTTCATTACATCATTCTTGGTTGATTCTCTTGTGGTGTCAATCCCTGTGATTGGTGTTAAACTGACAGGTTTTTTTTTTTTAATAAATTTATGTTTGAGAAGTTACCTCAAATCAGCATCCAACAATACCACTTCTTGTGTGTCCAAGGCATAGGAACAAGGCACTGAGCAGTGTATGAATTTATTCATCAATAGAAAAGGTTGTGAACTTATTAAAATATTTGAGACAGCTTCAAAGCCAAGAGATCACATTTCATAAACAATTTATATCTAACTTACACAAACAGCTAATGCTCAAAAGGCTTCATGATGCAAAATTGGCATTTTAAAAGAAAAATTATTTAAAAAGAAATTCAACGATTTTTTAGATTAATGTCATTAAATTGATCAATATACACAGTCTTGCATTTTTTAAATACTAAGAGAACACATTTACTTCTCTATCTTTTGCTTACTTGAAGACGTGAAGCAATTCAATACCTATGTAATGCTATTCTCCACCGAAGACAATCGAGTCTTGAAACTATTGCTATCAAAATACTATCTTGAAAGAACTGAGTATTTAGTCCTTTGTTGAAACCCAAAAGTTGTCATTTGAAAAATCAATTCTGCATTTACCTGGAAGGATTATCTGGGATTCTGATGGAATTTCAACTTACTCAGGATGATTTCAGGAACAAACCCTGGCATGATATTTTACCCAATATTCTTTAATATGTGAGCTTTCATCTATCATCTGATTGTGGTTATTCATTTGGATATTTTCAAATGGCAGAGTATATATGGCCTGGTAGGCCTCTCTCTACTACCTTTTGTTTTGTCCTAACATTCTTCTTGATATAAAACAACCCAATATAAGACCATGAAAATATGCAAATGCACTGGAGGGTGATGGGATAGCCTAAATCCAGTGTTTCACTAAACTGCAACATCCCATGATTTTCCAATGTTCTGCTTCCATACATGCTTCTAACAATCATTTACAGAATCCAGTAAACAATATCTGGAGGACCAAGGCAAAGAAGCAAACAAATGGTACTCTCCAACATTACAAAGTTGGTGACTATAAAAGTATACAAAAATTCTGAGTTAAAAAAAGAAGTACTGTTAAAACTGACCATGGCTTCTGGCCCCTGGTCCAAAACCCAGGGAAAAAGTGAAATGAGGCAGACAACCAGCTGCTTGCTTGTTATGCTGATTACATGGTTGATTTCACCAGCTGTACTTTGTTTTCCTGAATCATGACTTCCTTGGCTAAAAGATCGGAATTAAGTCTCAAGTTCTCTTTCAATTTGTTGAGCTCGAAGTCGTGGATAATCTTGATAGTCATTAACTTTTCTCGCTTGATTCTCTCTATAACTTCTTTTGGAACATCAGGGATCATCCACGCCAACAAAAATTTAACTAAAAACACAACGTGCTAAAGGAAATGTAAAGGAAAATCAAAGACATTATTAGAATTATGTTGCAATTATATTGAAGTGGGAGAAGGATACAAGATTATATGCATGTGTGAGAGGGTGTGTGTGTGTGTGATGTGCCATGGTGTAAAGTCTATAATTAATATCAAAAACTGAAAACTAAAGAAATAGCAACATGAGCACTTTGCTTTACAATACAGAGACAATTACTAGAACAATAGGTTTAAAAAGTTAAATGGTTTTCTGAGATCAGGATGATAGGATGTAAAGGAATAGTACGTATGTCTGTCACTTGTTAGCCACGTTTGATTTTTAAATTATTTACACGTACAACCCTGATTAAAAAAAAAATCATTTTTACATACAAACTTGATTTTAAAAAAAATTCTATGTGCTTAGGTAAGACTTGTCTATTGTTGGGTTTTACTATGGAATGATTTACATTTATTTCTCTCTCCTCTACTAACATTCATGTCTTATTATTTGTAGCACTCCATTTATAATTTAGTCAAATACCCTCTCTGCATCACTTGGATTTTCTTGCATGTCTTATCTCCATACTTACACTAGATAATTCAGAAGGGAAAATGCATAACACTGTGGACAGAACATAAGCTTGGGAATATGCAAGATAGACTTCGCATTGAAACCAAGTTCAAATATTAGCTGAGTAACCTTAAGCAGACTGCTCAATTTCACTGAGTCTCAGATTCATTTGTCAAAGGAGAATGGAAAAAATTCCATTATAATTTATATTTATAATTATATAATATATAGTCATAATTTATAATTTATATAAGGTTGTTATGAGAATGAAATAACATATATGTAAAGCTTTAAAATAGTATTTGGAAACCAGTATACAGCAGATATTCAACAAAAATCAGTGGCTTTTCTTTCCTGTTACTGACCTCAAGGGAAGAGGCCATATTTTGCCTTCTCTTTCCTGTTACCATGGTTATCTTCAATCATAGTTAAGTCATAATAGGCATTTAACACCTACTGTATTGAAAATATCCCTTTTTATGACAATAAGTACTTCCTTCAAAATAATTTTTTGAGATAGTGCTAATTGTCTGATGAGCAGATACTTTTAGGAATACCTGTCTAAAGAGAGAAGAGAAATTAACTGGAAGGAGAGTTAAGAAAACCTTACTTCCATAACTATGATGAAAGTCATCTTGGCAGCAAGTACATGCCAGAATTGCATATTAGGAGAATATTTTAATTCATGTTCTGGAGGATATCTGTAGTCTCTGTACCTGGAAAATGGAAGTAAAGGCAAAAATTAGCTATAACTTCAACTGGACAAAACCTAGAAGAAATTCTTCTTATTGTTATTAAAAAAATATTTTTGAGTTGATCACAAAAACCAGATCATAGTAAGACAACTGTTAATATGAAATTTATTTTTGTTTCTTGTACACTACAATCACTGCCATATGATAGCTATATTCAATATAGAGTTAGAAGGAAACTGATAAGAGAAATAGCTCTCTTTCTCTTAAAGACAAATTTTTTAAAAGAGTTATCCAAATTTATTTTCTCCATTTCCTCTCTTCATACTCTTAACACACTTAGATCTTTCTTTCACTCCAATGAAACCAATTGTCTTCTGTCATTAAATTCAAGACATATTTCAATCTCCATCTTAACTGATCTTTCCAGAATAGGATTTGAAATTGTTGACAACTTTTTCTTTCTTGAAACTCTCTTCTCTTGGCTTACTCGACACTCCACTATTTGGATTTTCACACTGCCTTTCTGGAATTTTCTTTCTTTCTTTTTT